AAGTCGTAGGGTTGCAGAAAGACTTATAATACCCCAAGCACTCAATGTCCTGCCTATGGGCATCCCTCTCCCGCGGCTGGGCCGCAGCTGTGGGAAGCCAGCACAGAGCCAACCACAATCCATCCAGCTTCTGCATTAGGCAGGTCACTGTGTGCTGGAAGAAGCATAAGGTCTCAGCATGAGATCCTGCTATCACACGGGGGCAAGTTCAGATTTCACAAGTTGTTCAGCTGGATGAGCCCCTGCTGTGCCTGCGTCCTGAGTGGGGTCTTTCCCGCACTAGAGTCCCTGCGGGTCTCCATGGGGATCTAAGCCACGGTGTAGGCACTTCTTCTTTATAATGCACAGGACAGGCTGTCCTTGTGCAGAAGCAGAAGAGTTTCTCCAAGATCTCCATCCGTTCCATCTGCCTGGTCTTGTTTGTGTCTGATTTGAGCCACAAAGTGCGTGAGCAGTACGTCAGGGGTTACTCAAAACTGACTTTTCAGCAGCCTTGTGGAATTTCAGTGGCATTTTCTCTTGCAGAACCTCTTGTCTCTTGCTTGCAAAACCTCTTTTCTTTTGGAGTTGCTGCTTAAGGTGAGAAATCGCTCCACGTTGCACACAGGGAGCAGCTGCAGGCTTGGATTCCCCAGCGCTGACGTTCTGCCTTTGCCCAGGGGTTTTATTTTCCACTTGCATTCCTCCTTGGCTTGGTTTTACAGGAATGTTGCTTTTTCCTTGGTTATGGAGACTGGAGAAGCTGAGCTCATCTAAGGGCAATCTAACCAAGGGTGATCAGGGCTGGGTTTGTTTTCTTGGGACTGACAATGGTGCAGTTTCTACAAAGCTTTGGGGATTGTGGTGGGAATTTGTGAGACTCTAGTTTTATTTGTGCACCTCATTTTAAACACGTTGTGAGGAATGGAGCAAGATCTATAATAGTCTAGTGGTGTTCAAAAGAGGGTGCCTAGGGAAGGGTGCAAGAACAATGTAAGTATGTAGTAAATGTTTCTCTGAATATTCACTGTGGCTGCAAACTCCATGCTGGAGGCAGTGTCTTTGAAATTAATAGCCTTTGATGGATTATTTCTACCGTGAATTTGTTACACGGGGTGATAAAAATCAGACAAATGAGGAAATTGGAATAAATAAAGGCAAGCAGTAGGTTGGAAGCAGCACAAGCAATAGGAGAAAACATTGAATCATGGAAACAGTAGTTGGTAGGGCAATAAACGGGGTGAGGAGCCGGGAAGGAAGCATGATGAAGTCAAAGAGAGGAGGCAATAGTGCCTAAAACCAGGGTCTTGGCATAAATTGAAGGAACTTGAGCAATTGCTGTGGACATGGACTAGAGAATAAAGGAGTGATGGAATAACTGTGACTGCATCCCAAGCATCTCCCTTATTTCTGTTATACCTTTAACAAAAATAACACTGCTGCCTTCCCCTGGATAGGGTATGCTCCGGTACAGGGCTGTTCCTGCAATGACAGCCCAGGCTCGCTCGCTCCCTGACCGAACAGCGAGGTTATTTCAGACTTGCTTTTCACATGCAGTGAGGGCACTGCAGAGCGGCAGCCTAGGGAAAATCACTTCATCCTGAGAGTGCACCAATTCCTTTAAACCTTAATGCGAGAGAAGAAAATGGATTTGCAAGGACAGGTTTCATTTCCGAGCCACAAGGACGGAGAAGCGAAGGAAACCAATTACCAAGGCCAGAACAGCTAAACGGCTTGAACACGGTGGAGCCTGGAATTTATTGAATGACAGGTGACAACAATCTTAAATGAGGCAGAGGTGGTAGATTTAATATATCCAAGGCAGTAGGAAAACAACAGGCTTAGAAAAGAGTGACTGCAATGCAGGCCTTGGCTTTTAGAGACGCCTTCTGCAAAGAAAACCTGGCAGCTTGAGTTATACCTCCTATCCCATAGGGACATTTAAAAAACTATATATATATAAAAAATATATATTTTTTAAATCAGTCAGGAGAATGCATGTTTCCAAAAAGCATCTGAGACTTCCCACTCGTGGAATTTACCACCTGGTAAACTCGTCCTTCGCCGCTGGCTGCTGTGGGGGAAATTATAGCAGGGCTGCTTTGGGCT